GGTCTATCCTTCATTATAATCTTCTTTCTTAGGAGTTATAGAGAAGGCATAGGCTTTATATAGGGTTAAATATTTTGCTTATATAGTTTAAAATCTTCTGGAATAGTGCAAGTAAGTTGTTTTTTTTGAGATTGTTCTTGCTTATAAGATGTATCAAGAACAATTCTTCTTCTTTTTCAATAAATAGTATATTGGAAAGTTTTTTAGTTATAGTTAGCTTCTATTTTCTTTGACCAATCATTTTCTAATAAAAATAAATAAGAAATAGCAGATATAACTTTCACATCTAAAGGAATAAGTCATACTTAAACTTTAATAGATAGATTTTTAATAATTTCTAGTGGTCTAGAGGTAGTTTCAGTAGTAGTGACAATAATGCTCTTAGATGGTTCTTTTATTTTTAATTCTAATTCTTTTCTGTCTGATGAGAAATCATATTAACAGAGGCTCTACTGTCAATAATAGCAGAGTAGATTCGATCTTGAATGTTAATATAACATTTGACAGGAGTGATGGTAAGAGTATACTAAGATTTGATAATTTTTTGGTTCTCTGCTATAATATAAGCAATAAGAGCAATTCTAATAAAATAGTTGTCTAACAATTTTTTTCAATTGTTAGTATTTAAAATAGTTTGTACTTCAGCTATATTTATATCTTAATAGTAAGTAGTTAAATCTTGGTCCTTATCTTGGTCCTTATCTTTTTTTGGCTTCTGTCTTTAGATCTGTTTCTTTCTGAATAGTTTTTGTCTCTGGATCTGTTTTTGCTTCTGGCTCTTTGGTAATCATTTCTTTGATTGTTGTAATTTTTCTATTATTATTATTGCAATTATTATTATTGTTTCTGTTCTTTTAAAGTTGCTGTTTCTTTGATTTTTATTATGTCTTTTTTTACAATTTGTCATAAAATGTCCAGAATTATCACAGTAATAACAAAAAGCTCTGTTTTGTGCAAAGTTAGGTCTAGAGTTATTTTCTTTTTTTGCAGTATAGACTATATAAGGTTGTGAAGTTTATTGAGCTTGTAATATTGGTTAAGGTTGGATCATAACTAAGTTGATATATAGTTGGGCTAGTTGTTTGATAATGTTATTAATATCATCTTTTTCTAGAGTGGCCATTACTTTTTCTAGCTTCCAATATTTTGCTTCTTCAATAGCAACAGCTAAGTTGTTAGAAACTAATGCTTGTACAGATATTGCATATTCAGATTGCAATCCTTTAATAAAAAGCTATACAATAAAGTCATTTGGAAAGCTCCTATCAGGGTTTACCTTTATTTTTAGCTTTTTAAACTGAGCAATGTATGTATTAACAGTATTGGTTTCTTGTTTTAGGTTAAAGAATTCTTGTTGCCATATAGCTTTCTTCTTAATTGTTTTAAATTGCTCCAGAAATCAGGTTTTGAATTGAGGTACTTTTTCTTTATTATATAATTGAAAGTAGTTATTTTTAAGTTCTTTGAGCCAATCTTTTGCATTGTCTTTCATATATGCTTGGGCAATTGCAAGTTTTCTAGCTTCAGACTATCTATTGACAATAGCAGCTTATTCAAATTCATTAATCCAATCAACTAGGTCTTCAGTTCTATTACCTTTAAATAATACAATTTTAAAGAGTGATTTCTCTCCAGCTTTAAGAGTATCAACTAGTCTATTTATTGCAGCAACAGCATTGTTCATAGCTCTTTCATCTTCAGAGTCAAGTTCATTAGTAATAGTTTTATTTAAGCTTTCTGGTTCTTCTTCTTCTAATAAAGGTTGTTCTTTTAAAATTTCTGTTTCTTCAGAGTAATCTTGTTCTGTTAATAGATTAAGATCTTCAATAGTTAAAGTTGTGTCCTCTTGAATATAAGTTTCTAGGTCTTAGACAAAGTTTTTAAGATCAATAGGTCAGTGATAATTAAATGGCATTTCAATAATAAGTTGTATAGTTACAATTTCAAAATAATTAGTTGTTTCTAATAAGTTAAAAGTTGAAAAGATATCTTCTTCAGTTGTAATAAAATTTTCAGTGTTGTAGATAAAGTTTTTTCCAGACTTGATTCAATACCAGAATAAGATGAAAAAAGCTTAATTCTTTTGGTTACAAATTTAGCAAATCTATTAACTAGTTTTGGTGTAGTTAAGGTTGAAAGTTAAAAGAAATAAGAGGATCAAGTTGAAGTGTAAAAGAATTCTTAGATAATTTCTCTTTCTTGTAAAGCTCCTAGTTGAATAAAAAGAGAAAGTAATTCTCCTATTCTTGGTAGGTTATTTGATTAATAATAAGTATAATGTCTACTAGTTAGGTTTCTACTATATGGAACTAAAAAGCTAGAGTCTACAATAGGTATTGGAGTTTAAGTAAGAGTAACAACAGTGGTAATAGAATAAGTAGAAGTTGTAACAGATTCTTCTACAGTAATAACAGTTTCTTGTAGTAATTGTTGAGAAGTAGATGCACTAGTTTTTTTCTTAGAACCTTGTGCTGATTTTAATGCAGCAGCTTGTAAAGCTTTAATCTATTGTTAGGCTCTAACTGGATTGTCAATAAAAATATTGAATAGAGTCCTTTGGTTAGCAGTAATTAATAATACTAAATAATGAGAAGTATATTCTTGAAAAATGCTTTGTACAATATCTTAAGAGTTAGTTATCTGGTTCTGATAACAACAACTAAAAATAATTTTCTAATTACAACTTGGGCAGCTAAGCATCTAGCAGTAGCTAATCTTAAAAGGTTGAAATAAGTAACTTTACTAAAAGAAATAGCTTGGTAAATTTCAGAGTACCAAGTTCAAAATTCAGCAAAACATCTATAAAGGTTAAAAGATAGATAATACTATTGGCAAGATAAATCAATTACAAGAGTTTGCAATATAGTTGTAGTAAGAAAGAGGTTTTCACTATGAATCTGTTAATGTTTTTGAATATTTTCTAAATAAAATCAAATAAGAAAATCTCCCATAAAATAAATTTCTTTGAGAAGGGTTAATACTAACAAGTAATAAAATGATAAAATAAAATAACAAAAATTAAAAGAATAAACTTAAAATAATAATGCTAGCAAATAAAGAATTCAAGTAGTCAATCAAAAATTAAACAATTCAAAATATATTCATCAGCTAGTAAGTAATATTAAAATTAAAAATCAAAATAAAAAATCAAAAATTAAAAATCAAAAATCAAAAATTCAAAAATAGAAGATAAAAGCATAAACTTCAATTTTAAAATATAAAATACAAATACAAAATACAAAATAATTTAATTCAATTTGAGTTAGTAGAAGTATACCTAAAATAATAATTCCAAAATTTCAAAAATGCTTTTTCACAATTGTTGCTTTTAAAATAAAAATCCTTTCTAAAGAGAAAATTGTTTTTTGGAGTAGTTTTCTTAAGAGAAGTTTCTGTTCCTTTTCTGTAATATTTTTTAGCTTTTCTGAGATAATTTTTAGCTTTCTGTCAGAAGGCATCAAAATAGTACAAGGTTGTAGCCTTTTTGGTACAATACAACTAAGTAACAAGATTAATCAATACAGTGATTGCCTATTGCAAATATATACAGAATAGAGGTGTAATAGTTTACTTTACTATACTGCAGCAGGCAAACAGTTTGAGATAGTAACAGTATATAGATTAACTTTATTAACTAAATATACAGTAACAACCTTGCTTGTAAAAATTACTCTAGAGAGAGAATATTACTTTTACAAGTTAGAAGTAAAGATAGAAAGGTCTAGGTTAAAGTATAGAAACTTAGAATTAACAGGGAAGGATGAAAGCTACCCTTTATATATATTTTTATTTAACAGAAATAGTGAAGATTCAAGCAACATTACTTAATATTGTACTTAGAATAATAAGGGTTCAAACAACATTAGATATTATTGTATTTAGGACAATAAAGATTCAAATAACATTAAATAATATTGTGCTTAGAGTAGTAGAGACTGTGCAGAGGCAACTGGAAATATTGTGCAGAGATACTTAAAGTTCATATTGGAAATATTTGAGATTCTTGTGCTGTAGCATTTGGCACAGTAATTTGGTGCTAAGATACATGAAACTTGTACAGAAGTACTTGAAATTTGTAAGATAGTAATAACATTACAGATGTTACTTAGTGTTATGTAGCTGTACTATATTTCTAATAGCTAATTAAGATTCTTTTATCTATTTACTATATAAAATAACTATCAACTAACTAGTGACTAATAACTAATAATAAATATAAGATATAAAATACAATAATGAATATATATAACTACTAATACTACTATATAATATACTATGCTAAATTCTACTTTGTAACAATATAATAATGCAATAACTACATTCTATTATTATGAACAATATAGTATAATCTCGATATAATGATAACAAGGTTTTTTATATTATATTAGCTCTAATATAATGAAATTACTAATAAGTTTTGATATAACAAAGCAAAGCCTCTAGCTTCAGAGCTTTGTTATATTAAGAATATACTGTAGATTATTTTAAATAAACTAAATAAATAGTTAGTTAGGTTATAAAACCAAGAAAAGCACTTATCCATCTTATTAAATTTTTTTTTTTGTAAATAAATATTCTTTACAAAACCTAAAAAAACTAAAACTACTCTTACTAATAAGTAAAGAAAAGCTATCATTGCACATAAAGATAAAAACTCTAACATAAGCCAAGCTGATATTGTTAATTGGATAAAACAAACAATAGGTCTAGATGTTCATCAAAGTATTATTAGCTGTCTACTAAAAAATAAGGATACAATTAAAAAAAATTTCTTAGCAAAAAGACAAAAAACAGTTCAATATCTGGATTTTAAGACATGTTGTATGAGTAGATTTTACAAAGTCAATATTGTATAATACTATTTGATAAAATTATAATTGAAAAAGCAAAAAATTTAGCTAAATTGTTTCATATATCTGAGAATAATTTCAAGTTCTCGCATAATTGGCTATACAAGTTCAAAAAAAGATATAGCTTAAAGTGAATAATAAAACATAAAGAAAATGCATCTGTAGATAATATCATTATTAAAAAGGCTCTTTCTCAATTAAGAGAAGTTTTAAAAGAATATGACCTAAAGAACATTTATAATATAGATGAAACTGAATTATTTTATTGGTATTAAACAAATTATGCTATATGAATTAATACTTACCTTAATTAATCTTTTTTTCTTTTACTTTTTTTTTTATATTTTTTTTTATTTTTTATTTTTTTTTATTTTTTAATTTTTTTTTATTTTTTTTAATTATATTTTATTTTTTTTTTAATTTTTTTTAAATTTTTTTAAATTTTTTTTAATTTTTTTTAATTTTTTTTAATTATTTTTATTTTTTTTTATTATTTTTATTTTTTTTTATTATTTTTATTTTTTTTTAATTTTTTTAAAAAAATTTTTTCTCTCTAAAGCCTAATATACTAGTAACGTTCATCTTAAAAAGAAAAAAAAAGACAAAAACAACTAACTATAGCACTTTGTATTAATGCTAACAGGACAGATAAAATAAGACTATTTGTTATTAGTAAATTACCTAATTCACATTGCTTTAAATCTATTAAACATTGTAGTTTTAATGTTGTATATAATGCAAATCAAAAAGCATAAATGACAAGTATACTGTATTAACAATGGCTTAAAAAATTTAATTCAAAAATGGCTAGTTACAAAGTAATTGTTTTAATTGATAAAGCAAGATGCCATTCTTCTGATAATTTAAAACTACATAATACAACTGTTTACATCCTTTTTTCAAATACAACATTTCATATACAACCTATAGATGCTGACTTATAATGTTTTTCAAGTGTTACTATTGAAATTACTTTATAAAATAGTTATTTGATCGATATAAATCTGAAGATAATAATAATAAAATAGATGTTCTTACCACTATAAATTTATCATTTGAGCATAGAGTGAGGTGTTACTAACAACAATACAAAATTGTTTTAAACACATAAATAAAGTTGAGATTTTTTTAATATTTATTAAACCTATTTAATAAATATTAGTAGTATAGTAAAATCATTCTAATAATTGTTATAACTAAGAATAAATTTAGTTAGTTATAACACAGTTAACTGAAATAACTGACTAAATCCATCTATAGCTGTAACTATAGTAAGTAATATAGTAAGTTACAGAAATAATATTATAACTTATTATATTACTTACTATAGTTATAATAAGTGATAACAATTATTAGGATAATTCTACTGTATTGTTAATAAATATTTTTTGTTATCTATGAATATTCTTGAATAAATATCTAGATATTATATGAGTGCTACAGAATGAAAACCTAAAACTAAATATTAAAGTTTTCACTATGGCAAACTAGCTTCTGAACAATTATAATATTATGTATTAGTATTGATAATTGGTGTTTTTTGTTTTATTATAATTGTTTAAAGCTAAGTTTACTATCATAAAAACTTTAATATTCAGTTTCAGGTTTTCATTCTGTAGCACTTATATAAATATTTATAACTTTTATAAAAAAATTTCTGAATATTCATTGAATATTGATAATCTAATAAATATTATAAATATTTTTATTTATTTTATGAAATTTAGTAAAAAATTGATCAAATAATTATTTGTCAATTTGATAATTTTTGATTTTGGTTATTATAAAATTTTGATTTAGGTATGAATAGTAATATAACAATAATTATATATGTATTGCAAATCAAAGATCTTAACAAAAAAACTTATTGAATTAATCAAATAATCATTTAATAAATTTTTACTAAATGTTTTAAAAATAATAAAAACAGCTATAAATATTTATTTTTAATTATAAATATTCATGGATCCTATCTCTATATACAGGAATTCTTCTGATTGTTCAAGATAATAAGAATGCTTTTGATAATGAAGATGATGATTTGATAGAAGAATTGTACTATAAATTCTTGAAATAAAGGCATCTGTATACTATTTTGAATATCTGCATGCTATTTCAAATACATGCATAGGTGCTATTTTGAAATAAAGTATAATTTTCTAAACTAAGTACTTTTTAAAATAACATCCATAAGCAGCATATATTGCAGTATAGTGCTTGGATCTGTTGAAAAATCCATTGAATAATCTGATGAATATCTAACTATTTTAATACTGTCAACTTTGAGAGTCTCTACAATTTCAATTATAACAATACAGTAAATATTTTTTATGGATATTCATTAGATTATCAAAGAAAAAAATAATAAAAGATTAGAAAAAGGTAAAAAAACTTAATAAAATAAACAAAAATATTTGTGTAATAGCTATCTTTACATCTAGTGAATTTTATAATTATAAAGCAAAGTCATTTAACAAATTTATTTTTGTATGAAATGTATAATGTATATAAAAATTTGATAGATTGAACAAAAAACAGTCATATATCGATATTCACAGATTTAAGCACTATTGCAGCAAGTATCATAACAAAGTAAGATTATAGTTATGCTGTGCAACTCAATAGTTTAAGTTTATTTCTCCTAACATTATTAGAACAAGTTTGTATACAATTAATAAATTACATATAAACTTTAAAAAAAAACAAAAAAACTTATTTCTATTAAACATAAAAATGATAATAATAAATAAATATTTAAAAACCTGTTAACAAGTTTTATTGTCACTACAACACAGTAATTCTTTATTCTTACAAGAAATCCAGTCTTTTCAAATAATGCAATTTAACATCACTATTTTTTTAAAAAAAACTATTGAATACTGACAACCTGATAAGAACTAGTAAACATATACGATGCAAAAGTAAAAGACAAATTCTATAAAAAAAAAAAGTTTATTATATAGAATAATTTTATAATAGTTAAATTCTCAAATATTTAAAACTTATTTAATTAAGGACCTTATCTAAACATTTTAAATATTATTAAAATGCTATATTGATATCATTATACTGTAATCTTAAATAGCTTCAATTTCATTTTGATGATACATTCAAATTTACTTTACACATAGGGTTATTACCTTTACAGCTTCAAATATTATTAATTTTTTTTCACTACTTCTATTTGAGAAATTTTTATTTTGACTAAAACACTCATTAACACTAATTACACATTATCTGATTCTAAAATTAACTCAACAATTTTTTTTTCAAACATATAAATTGCACTTGTTTATAAAAATTTGAAAGATATATATATTTAACTGTTTTCTAATAAAAAAACAAAAATAAAATTAATTTATAGCTCTAATTTCTTTAATAAATTGATAATATTTGTTATTAGATATTTCACATCTGATAACTATATAGTATAGAATTTTTTTGAGCTATTTTTTTTGTAATACAAATCCAATTTATATATAAATTGAAATTTTACATACAAATTTCTTGATTTACACAAAAAACATAACATTAAAGAGAAAAAATCAAAGTTATACCATTATATTTAAACTTGATATTGTAGCATATACAAAAGATACCTCTAACTGCTAAGCAACAACATTTTATAAGATTGACCAAAAACTAGTTCAAGAGTAGAAAAAACAAAAAACAAAGCTCCAAACTATTATTAATAAAAATGAAGCACAAGTTCTTAAGAATTGTAGTCATAAAGCTATATTTCTTGCTTTAAAAGAAGAACTATTAGATTATATTAAAAAAAAAAAAAAAAAAAAGTGTAGTTACAATGTTTATAATTAGGAAAAAAGCCAAAGAGTCAAAACAAACTTATGGCCTTAAAGGTGCACAGTTTTTATATGAGTGGATTGTATATTTTAAAATCACTACAAGTTAATAAAATAAACTAGAACACAAATTGCTCAAAAGTTTTCTAAAAATATACCTTTAATTGTAAAGAACTTTCTTTTAACTACATATGGAAAAACCCAAAATATTAAAAAAAAGTATATTATTTCATTTGATAAAACATTAATGTGGTTCGACATGCTCTGAGGTTTAATATTAGAGTTTCAAAGTACTCGTAAAGTACTAATTAAGACTACAGAAAGCAATAAAGTAAGATTTACTATAGTTCTAGATTATATAGCTTCTGGTGAAAAACTTCTACCAGTTGTGATTTCAAGTTAAAAAAAAAACTAAAAGGCAGGTTTTTACAAGATATTGTAGTAATAGTAGCACCTGGTAGAAATATAACTAGAGATTTAATGCTTTCTACCTATATTCTACAAGTTATTCAAGTGAGGCCAAATGGTTTTTTTAAAAATAAAATTGTAATTTTTGTTGATCTTCATCATAGCCATGTCCAAAATAATGTGATTAAAGCATTGAATAGGAAAGGTTTAGAAGCATTAGGAATATCTAATAGAACAACTAGTGTTTTGTAACCTCTGGATGTCTCTATAAATAAACTGTTCAAAAGCAGAATTAGAAATAAATAGGACAAATAGATAGATGAAGAAAAAAAGCAATATACTAAGAAAAGAAATCACAAAAAAGCACCATATAAACTTGTTTGTGAGTAGATATCTGAAACATAGAAAGAAATCAGCACACATTTTTTGACTAAATCTTTTGAATTAACTGGTCTTATACTTAATCCCGATAGTAGCAAGAATAATAAAATATTACAATGTCTTCAAGCAATTGTTGAAAACCATATAAATGAATTATTGAATGAAGGTAAAATTTTAGAAAGTGAAAAAGTATTGGATGTGAATGCAAATATAAATAATGATAATATTAATAAGATGAATGATGATTTGATGAATAATAAAGTTCAGTAGATGATGAATTTATAACAGATAAAGATGAATTTATAACAAATAATAAGTATAAGTTTAGATAGTAAAAAGTTTTATTAGTAAAATTTTTAACAAATTATTATAAATAGAAAAAAAAATATTTTACTTATCTTCTATAAAATACTAATTATTGTTTATTTTGTCTTGCAGGCAGAGCTAAATCAAGTAGACAAGGTTATAATAATCTAAAATAAATAAATAAAATAAGCCAAATAGGAAATCGTTCAAAATTTATTATCTAATTCCAAAGGTTTGTGTTTAAAATTTTCAATATTAAAGATCATCTTACAAAATTATTTGTTAGTTATTTTATATTTTCAAATTTCTTACAAGAATAATATTGCCTTATCAATATAAGCAGATCTCTGATGCTTATTTATATTATCATCTAGTTG